CCCGACCCCGAGACCCCTGCCAGCCACAGATTTGTACAGACAGGGGCAGTCAGACCCGACCCCGAGACCCCTGCCAGCCACAGATTTGTACAGACGGGGTCAGTCAGACCTGACCCTGAGACCCCTGCCAGCCAGATTTGTACAGACGGGGCAGTCAGACCCGACCCCGAGACCCCTGCCAGCCACAGACTTGTGCTCATCAACCTGCTGGCACTTCAGGCCTTGGTGACAGTCAGCCCTAGGCAGGCAGGGGGCACAAAACAATTCCCCAACCAATGATTCCAGGCCAGCCCAGGCAACCCAGACAAGGACCAGTGGGGCTCCCAGGAACACCTGGACGCCGGCTGGGCAAGACCCTGGGCCTGGTCCTGACTTCTCGGCCCCGCTGCTGTCCAGCTCCAGACAGATGGCAGGCAGTCAGGAGGCTCCAGGGAAAGAAGGGAAATAAGGAGGCAATCTTCTGGTTCAAGGCAACTCTGACCTCTGACCCAGAAAGGGAAGGGGCCTTGGTTTTACCTTAGCATGTTGTTTGTATAATACAGGAAAGACAACATCTCTGTCCCTACCTTACCAACTTCTCTGGCATCAATGTTTGAAAAATACCCAGCCCACAGGCCTCTCCTGACTCAGCCCTGAGTCTCCAGGAAAGGTCAAGTACAATTGTCGTTTTTAGCGCTCAACAGTGAGTCATCATCAAATGATCTGAAGGCACAAGACGTAGATAGGGCGGGTTCTGCTGCGTAAGCATGCCCACAAGCTCTGTGTGCAGAGGCCCACCCTGGCCTCCCAGACAGTACTGATTAGGGAGGGAGCAATGTGGGGAGGCGAGGGAGACAGGCTCAGAACGCATAGGCAGAGACAGAGACAGAGACGCAGACACAGGCACAGAGACGGGCAGAGATGTAGAGATGCAGACACAGAGACAGACACAGGCACAGAAACAGGTGCAAAGGTGTAGAGACACAGAGACAGAGACACAGTCACAGAGACAGGTGCAGAGATGTAGAGACGCAGACACAGAGACAGAGACACAGGCAGAGACAGGTGCAGAGATGTACAGATGCAGACACAGAGACAGGAACAGAGAGATATAGAGACACAGAGACAGACACAGGCAGAGACACAGGCACAGAGACAGGTGCAGAGATGCAGGCACAGAGCTAGAGACAGGTGCAGAGATGTAGAAACACAGAGATGCAGGTACAGAGACAGAGACAGGTGCAGAGATGTAGACAGACAGAGACAGGTACAGAGATATAAACAGAGAGAGACAGGCTGAGCGAGGTGGACGAGGGGCAGGGTAGGGAGTACAGGATGAGAATGGGGAGAGGCTGCAGCCATCTGACAGGGCTGAGCCCAGGTGACCTTCCTGGCAGTTCTATCTGAGTCCACTGAAGGATGTTCATAAAGCAGAGTCTCCCAGAGACAAAGCACCCATGGACGTGCGAGAAGTGCTGCTGGGATCAGGTCCCCAGGAGCTTCTTACACAGGTTAGAAATGCAGACTCAATAAGAACTGAAAAGAAAGTGCTTGAAGCTACCTATGGAATTTCACTCCTTGTTAGAAATACAGGAAGCAGAAAGGGAAAAAGGATGCCCCCTTTCCGTATCCCAAGGCCTGCAGCATGCAGCAGGGCAGCATGGAGGAGAGGGTAAGCTACCTTCCAGCTCCTCCTCCATCCGAAGATCGGCCCAGTCCAGAACTGAAGAGAGAACCACTCCTGTGGTAGGCAGAATAATGACCTCCCAAAGATGTCCACGTCCTAACCCCAAAACCTTGAGTCTGTGGTTACATGGAAGGGGATTAAAGCTGAAGATGGAATTAAGTTTGTTAATTTGCTGACCTTGAGATGGGGAGAGTATTCTGGATTATCCAAGAGGGCCCAGTGTAATCACACGGGTCTCTATAAATGAGAGAGGCATGCAGGTGAGTCAGAGTCAGAGTGATGTGACATGAGAATGACTCGACCCGCCATTGCTGGCTTTGAAGATGGAAGGAGGCCACAAGCCAAGGAATGCAGGTGCCACTAGAAGCTGAAAAAGGTAAGGAAACAGATTGTTCCTGGAACACCCTGAAAGAAAGAAGCCCTGCTGACCCGATGCTGTGATTTTAGCTCAGTGAGATCATTTCAGACTTCTGATCTCTAGAACCATGTGATCATAAATTTATGTTGTTTTAAGGTACTGAGTTTATAGTTGTTTGTTACAGCAGCAGAAGGAAATTGACACAACCCCCACATCCAGCCAACAACTGTTCTTCTCGACCCCTACCCTGCTGTCACTTGGTCTGAGCACACTGACACCACTGCCCTTCCACAAGGTTAAAATGAGCCAATCAACCAGGCATCCATCCCTTTATCTCTAATGTAGGACTGCATCGAGAAATACACTTTTAAAACAGTTGTTCAATGTTAATACCAAGTATTTTTCATGCTCATTAAGGTAAAATGTTCTTAGTATACATCAATCAGTTGATTCTTGATCTGAAAAAACATGACCTTTCAGTGGCAAGCCCAATGATTCATTCAAAAAAGGAAGAAATACTTTTTCTCTCTTCATCAATTACCGTTGAGTAGATCCCACCTCATCGCGACCCTATAGGACAGAATAGAACTGCGCCATAGGGTTTCCAAGGCCGTAAATCTTGACAGAAGCAGACTGCCACAGCTTTCTTCCTTGGAGCGCCTGGTGGGTTAGCAGCCGAGCACTTAACCAGGGCTTCTTTTTCTCTTAGCAGTTCCCTTTCTGTTTTCTTGTTTTCAGAACAAGACAAGCTCTGCTGAACATAAAGCTGTGGGGAACACCTGAGTCCAGCAGAGAAAGAAAACAGCACTTCCTACATGTCAGTTCTGCCGAGAGAGGGCATATGCTTGGGGGCCCCACTGGAGGTCCTCCAGGGAGATGCGCTGCCTGCTCTACCTCGGCTGCTAGGTTTGTTCAGAGGGGTCACCTGTGATGGGTCAGAAGAGGTGACACTCAGGTGCCTCTTCCAAAAAAAACTCACCTCTGTAATCAAAGGTGACGACATGGTAACCAAGGGAACTCAGCACCTGTGAAGTGAAAAATAAACATTTTTGGCAACAAATCCAAGCATCTCTGACGAGGGCAACTTTGCCTCTGACTAAAGTCACCCAGAGTATTGTCTTGGTGTCCTGCATACAGGGGAGGAAGCTCCATGGTGATCTTCTGGCTTGGGGGACTTTAAACACCCCAGGCAAGAGGGGTAGAGGATCTGGCAAGAGGAGGTACTCCAGAGCCCTGACCTCGACTTAGGATACTTTTCTGCAACTCAGCATTTCTCAGATTTTAAGCTTTTGTGGAAATTTTTCTTGCTGTACCTGTACTTAGACCCCCTCCTACTGCCCACCAACAGAACCAGACTGTGGGAGGTAGGGGCCTGCACAGAAGAACCCACCACATGCACCCACAGCACAGTGCCAAGAAGTGCAAGCTACACCAGTCCGCACCAGCTGCATTACGCTCCGCTCCTCAGGAAGCACGAGAGGCCGCCTCCCCAAGCCCCTTTGTGTCTATGAAATGTTCGTCTTTCCTTTATACTGTGTGTCCCTTATACCCATGCAGTCACAAAGCATTTCTAACGTTCTCTCAACTGAGGTGACCACGCAGTGCTGAGGAGGAGGGGACGCACACACTCTCACGAGGAGACCTGCACATCAGGCTGTCCTGGGAACACTGTCTGGTCTCATTTGTCAGTGCCAATACCTGGCAAGTGTCTTCTAACCTGCGTTTCCCTAGTGGATGGGAGAGCTAAGAGGGTGGAGAGATTGTAGCGGCTCACTTGCCAGGTCTGTTTCTTTGAAATGATCTGAGCTAGAACAGAGATATCTATTCTGTCTGGGGCCAGCTCAAGCCATTCTCCCTAAAGGCTTTAGGTTTATTTCAGTCTTTGCAGTGGGTACTCCAATTGTTTGCGAGCATTCCTGGGGAGCAGGAAGGCCACAGCTACACAAGCCCCACTTCAGTGTCCTTCCCTGGTGGCATCGTGGGCAGGAGTCTGCCCATCTGAGAACCCACATGGAGAGCCTGCTCTGTTGCTGAGCGTGCGCAGATGCTCTGCACCTGGCTGCTTCTCTTTAAGACTTGCTGGGGGCATGCAGGCATTCACCCCCCTGCCCTGATGTGATCCAATACACAAAGTTCAAGGGGAAAAAGCCCTCCAACAGCCCAGAGCTGCAATGTACCCACACATCTGCTTATGCTCCTTCTTGCCCTGCTAGCAAATGCAGATGTCCATTTGCAGGAAGCATAAGGGGACAAATGTGGGTGGCTCTGACATTCAAACAACCCCCGATGAAGAGCAGAACCAAGCAGAAGCACAGGTGTGGACGCCTGTGCCGCTGAAGAGCCACACTATATCTGGGGAGCCTGGGGGCACTTTCACCGAGCCTGCCAGGAGTGTCTGATTCGAGTCTGAGGGCATGTCATGTTGGATGTAGGGAATGTCTGTGCCAGCACAAGTCTGTGACCCTGTAGCTAGCAGTGCGTAGAGCTCTCTGACCACAGAGCTCTCCTTAGTCATCGTGTTTATGACTTAAAAGTCATTTCAAACATGTTTTATGTAATTTGCCAATATCTGGCATATGATCCACAAAATAAACATACCCTGATTTTGAAAAGCACCCCTCGAGGCAGCACCATGGGAAGCATTTTAAGGCAGGGTCCGCTAGGGAACTGCCTTACAGCACTTCCATAAAAAGCCATATTAAAAGAACCAGCCATGATCAGCTTTTGCAACCATGACTTGCTTCTTGCTTGTCTCCTAAAATGATAGCCAGGAAGCAGTACGTGGGCATGGCTGTGCTTCCCGTGCATAGGCTGTGGTGTCACCCTGTGCCCGCACCTTACCTTATACAGCTCCACACGGTGGTCCCCTCCCCTAGAGTGTCAGGGAGAAGAAACAAGAAAAGTAGATATTAGCACATCTTCTCAAATGGTCAGGCTCAGAGTCACAGTGCACAGTCTGAGTCCTTTGTGACTTGTTCTCCAAATCTCACACTAAGGAGGTAACAGTGCAGTGAAATACTCAATACGGCCCTTCTGGCCACAGTCTTTGTGACTTCCACACAGTGACTACTGGGTAGGACTATGCAAATGGGGTGTATGGAACCTGTGATGGTTAAGGTTATGTGTCATTTTGGCTGGGCCATGGTTTTCAGTGGTTTGGCAGTTATGTAATGATGTAATTTGGCAGTTATATAATGATGTAGTCATCCTCCATTTTGTGATGTGTTGTAAATCCTAGTCTCTATGCTTGTGGTTGTGGTCCTATTTGGGAGTAAGTTGTCCATTATGTTAGTGAGGCAGGATTAGGGTGGGATGTATCTTGAGTCACCGCCTTACTAGACAGTCTGACTCAAGTCACCCTGCTTACCTCAGTCACCACCCTGACCACCCTTATTCAAGTCACCACCTTTCACTGCCTTACTGAAGTCACACCCTTGCTTGAGTGGAACATTTTATCATACAAGAGATAAAAGGAGAGAGAAGTAAGCAGAGAATGGGAACCCACTACCACCAAAAAGAAGAGCTAGGAATGGAGCATGTCCTTTGGGCCCGGGATTCCTGCATTGAGAACCTCCTAGACCCAGAAGCCAGAGATACAGAGCTGTAACACCAGAGACGATGAGAGACGGTGAGAAGCGACGGCAGAGAAATGGTGGCAGCAGAGGCAGCAGAACCAGGAGACCGGCAGGAGATGCAGTGGTGGGTGTGCAGACCCAGAGTGAGAAAGCTGAGCACCTTCGGGTAGGAGGCTTGCTGGCAGAGTGGGGTGTCTTTGGGCACTTGTCAGTGAGTGCTGAGTGCCTTCAGGCACTTGTCAGTGGATCTACGCTTGTTGACCCATGGAGCAAGAGAGCTAAGCACCTTCAGGCCGAGGCTTACTAGCAGAGTAGGGTGCCTCTGGGTAGTTATCAGCAGAGCTAGGGGAGCTTTGTAACACTTGCCTGAGCAGGATAAAGGCTGGGCTGGATGTCCAAGGGGCTGAGAGGTTGAGGGCCAGAGAGAGGCCTGCCTGCGGACATGGCTAAGAAGAGGCTGTCCTGATCAGAAAACTGTATCCTGAGTCATTTCTGATCCTGAATTGTAACCTGTTACTTCACTAATAAACTCCATAATTGTAAGTATTGTATGTGAGTTCTGTGTGGCCATTGCAATGAATTATTGAACCCAGCAGAGAAGTAGAGACTGCCATGGGAGTGAAAACTGGTGTCAGAATTGGTAAAGAGATTGGAGAGAGGAGGTATGTCTGACCTTCGCTTCACAGGAATCATCTTTGGGCTGCTGATCTTGATTCTCCTTGCCCTTTGTGAAGTTAGACGTCAGACACCCCCGCCATACCATTTTTATAGTTGGTGTCAGAAGTGGGATGAGGAGAGGCTGATGTTAGAGATGATGGACTGGTACAGCAGTTTGGAAAAGTTGGATATTTGGGGCATCTTTAACCTCCGCTTCATAGGAACTAGCTTTGTGCTGATGCTTCTAAAAGAAATTATTCATTCAGGAGGGGTCAATGTGGGTAAGTAATTCTCTCCTTGTGTCACCAAAGTGGTCCCAGGCTTGCCTCTGGCAATACTGTGCCAAGCAAGGAACAGTCTTAGCATTTGGGGGATTTCTTAATTACAGCTTTTATTTTTAAATGGGTCACTCATACATATAGTACAAAATTCATTGCATACAAAAGGATATATAATAAGCCTGCCCCACTCCTGCCCAGCCATCTAGTTCCCTCCCTCAGCTTCCTGTGTGTGCAGAGATCATCACTTATTTACTTTAACACACACATGGGCCACACCATGCACACTTTCTGCAGCTTGTCCTTTTCACTTAATAAATCTTAGCCAACTTCCAGTACATTCTTTTTAGCAGCTGTTCACTTTCTTTTGCTTGTTTTCATTGTTTTTTTTTTTTTTTTTTTTTTTTGCCGTTTCCCACCTGTTGCTAATCTAAGTACTGCAGCAGTGACCACTTTCCCTTATGTCCTCTCACACATGTGTGCCTCATGTGTGGGACACATTCCTGGATATGGAATGTGGGGTTGAAGGTGTGTATAACTGTCATCCTGGCAGTTAAGGCCAAACCCTTCTTCAAAAGGTTCTAGCCTTCTACTAGCAGTGTATAAAAATGATGCTTCTCTAGACCCTCAGACCAGAGTTTCAATGGGTTATTTCTTACTATTGAAGCTGAGCATTCTTTCACATGAATAAATTATTTCACATGTTTATATTTCTCTGTCCGAGAAAAATCTATCACCTCTTCCCACTTTTCTATGATGTTGTTGGCCTTTTTCTTATTGTGGGCACACACTAGAGTAGGAGCAGGGGCTACCTAGGGAGAGGAGAACAAGACTGGCAGGTGTGGCAGCATGCTGAAGGATCTCTCATCCTGTCTATACTTCTGAGTTGTTTTGTTGTTTATATGGAACATTTGACCATTTCAGGTATGTGTATCAGGAGGGAGAGGCTTCTGAGGGAAGACAAGGAAGAGATGAAGGAAGAAAACCCAAGTAACATAGAAATAAAGATAGAAATAAAGAAAACAAAGGAATAAGTTTCAAGACCAGAGGGCAACACTGCAAAATGTTTTCAGCTATCTTTGGAAGAGTTCCTGGTGGCTCTTTTCTAAATTTTCCAAATTTCCTACATTCAGCAAAAAAGCAGAGGGGCCCAGAGTGTGTACAAGAGTCGCAGTGGCCCAAGGAGCATGGGTCCTGGAAACAGAAACAGAGGCGAGGGGCACAATCACATGCACTTTCTGCACTTACAATCACGACTGCATCTGGAATTGCTCAATTAACCACAACTGAGCAGAGAGCAGCAGGTCCAGGCTAAACAACAGGAGGACAGCCCAGTGGGTTGGCAAGTTGTCCCTGTTACTAGAACAAGTACCTATGTAATTCCCAGCTGTAAGGATGGCTTATGAAAACTTAAGTAGGAAAACTTCCTGATTCACAAACAGGCCTCTTCTGGGCCACAGGTTTGCACTTATAGCAGTTACCAGGGATTGGGGTCATGGATGATTCTCCTGAAAAAACTGTAAGCTCTGTGGGGATAAGATCCTGTCTAAATCAGTTACTATTCCCTCACCTGGGCCTAGCACATAGGGAGCACTTAACAAATACTAACTGAATTAATATCCTTTACTCCTCATACTTCTCCATATTTTTAAGCTATCCACCATTTAATTCACAAAAGTATTTTAAATAGTACCATGCTGTCATACATAATTCAGCGGCATTGAACCTCATGATCCACATGAGCTATACTAGAAACCTGGCCATCCTTAAGACTCTGTCAATATAAACATTCTGATTTCCAGACTCTAGGGCAGCTGCACCCTGCAGCGAGCACCCTACAGAGTGGAGGAGACACTAGCTGAGGACTGCACTTCTGTGGTCAGAGAAGGAACCTCCAGGAGCAGTGTGAGATGCAGTAAGACAAGACATAGGCAGGGCAACGTGGTGGGGAGGGCAGACACATACAGCAGGGAAAACCTGCAGCATAGGTAGTCTCTGGGGGAAGGAGAGGGGAGAAAATGAGGAACCCAACAGTCACAATATCACTTTTAAACCTGAAGGTACAGCAGGTTTTGTCTTCCGTACCAGACACTCCATGGAAACCCTATGGGGCTATAGGATCGCTATGAGTTGGAATGGACTGCTCGGCAATGGGTTTTGTTGTTGTTGTTGTTGTTTACCATGTGATTGCCATTGTTTAACTGAACTTCATTCATAGCAAACCACAAAATTTTATTATTTATAGTGTCAAAGACAGAAGTTGACAGCAGTTATCTTGCTTTGATTTTGGGGTTTCCTTACCCAGGAAACCAAATATTCACTTTAAAGAAATCTCTAACCAAAATTAATCCACCAGGGGCTTTTCTTTCACCCAAAGTTGCAAATCATCTTTCCTGTTTGAAGCCAGGCTTACTAAATTTGAATTTCAAAAGATATAGCTGGGTAGAGGGCCAGAGACCATCACATGACCTGATATCCCTGGATCACAGTAAAAGGGGGACGGCAGTGTTCAGTCAATCATGTTAAGATTAGTCAATGGTTGATCTTCTGTATTTCTCCCTCCTCTTCTCTTTATGAGTCGGTGTATTAGTTATCTATCTAGTGCTGCTATAACAGAAATACCACAAGTGGATGGCTTTAACAAACTGAAATTTATTTTCTCACAGTCTAGGAGGCTAGAAGTCCAAATTCAGGGTGCCAGCTCCAGGGGAAGGCTTTCTCTCTCTGTTGGCTCTGGGGGAAGATCCTTGTCATCTATCTTCCCTTGGTCTAGGAGCTTCTCTGTGCAGGAACCCCAGGTCCAAATGCTGTGCTTTGCTCCTGGCACTGCTTTCTTGGTGGTATGAGGTCCCATGACTCTCTGCTCGCCTCTTTTATATTTCAAAAGAGATTGGCTTAAGACACAACCTAATCTTGTAGGTTGAGTCCTGCCTCATTAACATAACTGCCACTAACCCCATCTCATTAACATCATAGACTTAGGATTGACAACACATAGGAAAATCACATCAGATGACAAAATGGTGGACAATCACACAATACTGGGAATAATGGCCTAGTCATATTGATACATATTCTTGGGGGACACAATTCAATCCTTGACCGTCGGTATCAACTTGAGGGCAATGGGTTTGGTTGTTTTTGTTTGTTTGTTTCCTTCTCTTTATAAACCCGATTGTATTCAGCTTCTTGGATCCATTTGTTTTTTCTGGAATAAAAACGGTCTCCCTATATGCATACAGAATAACTGCACAGAATAAACCTTATGTTCAAATTTCAGTGACTTTTGATTATTTTTAACAACAGCAAGACACCACAAGAGCTGTTGTAGCTACTTGCTCTTTGAAAAGCAGAAGAGAAACCGCTGCAGCTTGGACCAAACAAAGAAGAAAGCAACTTGGGAAGTGCACACAGTCTGCCCCTGGCACATGCCCTGACTTTGCCCTTGCCCTCCAGGGTATGTCTAGCCACTCTGTAGTGGCCTCCTCCACCACACCCCGCCTCCATGCTGCTCCCCTCCAGGAAGGTCCAGGCATGGTTCTCCTGACTGATTCTGCCTATGAAATGCCCCCTACCCCACCTGCCAACCTGACCCAAGTCGCCACACTGTGATGGCCCTGTACCACACCAGCTCCTCTGCTGGCTCTCACATGCAACCTAAAAAGCCCCAGCACCAGTGACCCAGGCTGTTTTCCAAGCAAGGCTTTGCTCAGAACACACACCTCCTCCCTCAGCTCCCGCTCTTCCCCCCTATCCCCAGGGTGCTCCCACATAAAGCGGTATCTTTAAAGCAGGGATAACCACTCAAATTCCAGCCAGTCTGAAGGAGGTACCATTAAATCCATTCATGGAAAGCTTTTGGGATAAAATTGGGTAAAGACTTCATACGCCATCAATAGCCCATTAGGATACTGCTAGTCTTATGTCCAGGACAGAGAATTCATAAAGATCACCCCGACCACGTGGCAGGAGGTACAGTCTGAAAGGATTAACTTGTTATGAGTGCTCAGCTGGGGTCTCTTCACTGGCCTCCCTCGCCTGCAGCCACCTTTTGAGACCACCACTACTCCCTTCTCAGCACTTTGTGGTCTTTCTTCCAGGAAATTGCAGGACTGCACTGGATCAGGTTTCACCTGTCTGCACACTGGAGCCAACCAACAGGTAAATGGTGCAGAGCCAGCCGCACCATAAGAAAGTGAAAATGTGCCCTGCATTCATCAGCCTGGGATGGCAGACCTGGTGGAGCCAGCTGCAAAGTTCACCAGAGCCCACATTCTCCAAGGACAGCTGTAAGGTGTCATTAGGACCCCTTCTATGAGTGACTACTGCTTTCTTGCTCACTGGAAACCTTGTTCCCTAAAAGCACAAACTGCCAGACACCTTGCTGGTGGAAATCACATAGGTGAGAGCAAAACACCCACTTCTGCCATGGGGAGCTAAGTCACCTTGACACAGAGAAGCAGCCCCCATTCCAACTCCAGCGCAGAGCTTCAGAGAAGGGGTTTCTGGACGCAACTTCCCACATCTGTCTAACACTGCAGCTCCCAAAGAAGCAGGACCCAGGTCTACTTGCAGACCAGACCTGATGTTGAGTCAGTGGAAACACTGCTTCAATTAAATTTCACATAAACTCCACCCTCCTCCCCAAAATCCCATAACACTGCCTTTTCCTCTGTTCTTGAGACACCCTATGGGGTTGCACCAGTGTGTACACTCCCTCATTGCAATGGGTCAATAACCTGATTCCACGAGACTGCAGGTTTTCTCCTGGTGGTCTTAGCTGACTGAGCTGACATGCCCCCAAAAGGAGCTGTACAGTGCAGGGAGATGCATCTGTGTGGGTTCTCACCTGCTGTCTCCCCTCCCTCACCTGGTGCCTGCGTTTCCATGCAGGTACAGAATGATAGGGTAGTTAGAAGCCAAGGCATCCTCATACCACATCTGGTCCTTTCCTTGGGCATTCTTCCACCAGACAGCTGGGACAGTGTGCCTGGAAACAGAAGCAGAGGCGAGGGGCACAATCACATGCTCTTTCTGCACTTACAATCACGACTGCATCTGGAATTGCTCAATTAACCACAACTGAGCAGAGAGCAGCAGGCCCAGGCTAAACAACAGGAGGACAGCCCAGTGGGCTGGCAAGTTGTCCCCATTACTAGAACAAGCACCTATGTAACTCCCAGCTGTAAGGATGGCTTATGAAAACTTCAGTAGGAACACTTCCTGATTTGCGAACAGGCCTCTTCTGGGCCTTGAGTTTGCACTGGTAGCAGTTATCCGGGGTTGGGGTCATGGATGATTCTCCTGTATAAACTAAGCTAATTCAGCGGCATTGAATCTCATGATCCTCATAAGCTATACTGAAAACCTGGTCACTCTAAGACCCCATGTTGATGTAAAACATTCTGATTTCCAGACTCCTGCTTACGAACCACTGGAGCAGACCTATCTCTGTAGGAGCCTTCGCAAGTTGAGCGTGGGTGATACAAAAAAAAAAACAAAAACCGTTGCTGTTGAGTCAATTCCGACTCATAGCGACCCTACAGGACAGAGTAAAACTGTCCCACAGGGTTTCCATGAAGCGGCTGGTGGATTTGAACTGCCGAACTTTTGATTAGCAGCTGTAACTCTTAACCACTGCACAACCAGGGCTAATACAGGCAGCCTGTAATAGCTGGAAACAAAGTGTCTTTTTGGAAGCAGGCCATGCCTGCTCCGTGCCATACTCTGAGCCCTGTTTGGCCATGTCCTCCTTCAGAGAAGACACCAAGGTTAATTTTAACTCAGGCCAAATCAAATTCTGTTAATCACTAGGGAGGGTCTGCATTAAAAAGGTTTTTTAAAGATTCTGGTGAGAATTTTTTTAAAAATTAAGTAAACAATTTCTTATGTCCTAGCTCTTAAGTTTCAGCATCTCATTTCTAATATATCCCTCTGATCCTTTCAAGAGGATGGCCTTTTGGGGTGGTTCTGATCATTATAATTATTGCTCCCATACAGTTATAAGCCTTTGGGAGGGAAAGGTACACTTTAAAAGGTGCTAGGAGCTGACATGCTTCCAGTGGCCATCCTACCCCAAACTTGGGGTTCCTGACAAGGGTCCACCTCCCTGGGCTCCCCTTCTCCTACTGCTAAGAGAGGAGAGTTCATGCACACAGACAGGCGGCTGAGAAGGAGCTGATGGTGAAGAGTGCCCGGCACCATTCTGGGCATGAGGCCCTTCTTTCAGGAAGGCTGTGGGAGGATCAGGCGGATGGGCAAGGAGGTGAAGCGGAACTCACTGCTCACCCACGGACCCACCATGCTATTCTGACACCACATACTCTTTCTGTACTTACAGTCACAACTGTCTCTAGAATTGCTGAATTAACTCAGGTGTAGGCTGGAGCAGGCTTCCAGTGAACACACAGTGCTTTTGTCATTACCTTGAGACATGCCATCATCGTCACTAAATAAAACTCTTTTTTGTGTAACTGATAATTTATGTAAGTACTGTTAGTATGTAAGTACACTCCTCATGCAATATGACCGCTCTATTTGAGTAGAAAACCCTGATAAACCCCAAATTCTTCAAAACACAGACACATACATTAACCAACAGGAAGGCCAACCTAGTTTCACTAAGCAAAACAAATCAAGCTTTTGACAAAAGATAGAAATTTGCAGTGTCTGACATGCATACATTGGTCAATAAATGTTAGATTAAATCAAGATAGAAAATGACATAAGAATCTAATTCCTGCACCAACTTCCTCCCTCCCTCCTTTCCTTTTTTCCTTCTTTCCATCCTCCCTCTCTTCGTTTTGTTGTTGAGAACATACATAACAAAACATACACTAATTCAACAGTTTTGACATGTACAATTTAATGACATTGATTACATTCTTCAAGTTGTGCAACCATTCTCACCCTCCTTTTCTGCATTTGTTTCTCCCTCATTAACATAAACTCACTGCCCCCTAAGGTTCCTATCTAATCTTTCAGGTTGCTGTTGCCAATTTGATTCCATATAGATAGTTTTTAAAAGAGTATAATGCTCAAGACAGATCTTTCTTACTTGTTAAGCTAATTAGTCTTTGGTTTTTAAGATGACTTCGGGGGATATTTTTGGTTTTCAAGGTTTAAAGATTATCTCAGGGCAATAGTTTCAGGGGTTCATCCACCCTCTATGGCTCCACAAAGTCTGGAGTCCATGAGAATCTGAAATTCTTTTCTGTATTTTCCCCCTTTTGATCAGGATTCTTCTATAGAATCTGTGATCAAAACGTCAGTAATTTGGGGTCTTTCAAAAGCCTGCAAGAGGCCATTTAAGATACATCTACTGGTCCCATCCCAGCTGGAGCAAAGGAGAATGAAGAAGACCAAAGACACAGGGAAAAGATTAGTCCAAAGGACTAATGGACCACAACTACCACAACCTCCACCAGACTGAGCCCAGAACAACTAGATGGTGCCTGGTCATCACCACAGACTGCTCTGGTACGGATCACAACAGAGGGTTCCAGACGGAGCAAAAGGAAAACATAGAACAAAATTCAAATTCACAAAAAAAAAAAGAAGACCAGGCTTGCTGGTCTGACAAGAGACTGAAGAAACCCCAGTATGGCCCTCAGACACCCTTTTAACTCAGTACTGAAGTCCCTCCTGAGGTTCACCCTTCAGCCAAAGATTAGATAGGTCTATAGGGTCAACAATAACACATGTGACAGATGCGCTTCAAAGTTCAATCATGTATGTGAAAACCTCAGGATAGAGTTTGGTGCTGTTTCAAAAATTTTGCACCATTCAGATCAAATTTAGCTGAGGTTTTCCCTTGGAAAAGGAATGGGTGCAGAATAAAATGGACAAGCACCAGTTTCAGAGACTGACATTCAGGACAGTGTCAGTGCCCCATAGGGCCCCCATTGCCTCCTGGAGAGGCCGCAGAGCTGGGCGCCTTGAACTCACCAGACACCTATTGTCACGTCTTCCTCTGGCTGGAGGTAATAATTACAGGTGTGATTCAAACCTTGATCCTGAGGCTTCTTCAAGTCTATGAAATAGGGAACCCTCACTGTAGAAGACAAAGAGATGGAAATCAGGATTAGTGGGAGTGGACGGTCAAGACACACCTACGCATACAGCACAAGTGAAGCTTTCAAAAAGTGCCAATTCTTTCCCAACACAACACTGCCAGACATGCTGGGCCCTCTGACCTCAACTGGAACACTGAGGTCAACATACTTCCAGTATGGGCAAGACTCAAGCACTGAAGTTGTTCAAAGGGTAAGGAGACACAAATGAGGAAAGGCAACATCACTGAGGGCTGCCTGGGTGATGAACCAGCATGAGAGAGGAGGCCAGGAGGTCTGCCAAAGTCACTCAGCCAAGCTAGGACCGCAGGCTGGAACTAGGGTGACACACGTCTGAGATGTTCTGGACCTAGAACCACAGGACTTGATGACCAACTGATGTGGGTGGTAAACAAGTTAAGGGGGATTCTGAAGTTCCTAGTGCTGTCATAGCACAGAAAGCCAGTGAACAGTGAGGTACAGACACAGGAAACAGATGAATCCATAGAATACCATCCAGAGCTGAGTGAAGGTACGTGGATCGATACAGCAGTGTCCTGAAGTGAGCAGGTAGTCTATCAACTAGGGCCCCGGTTGAGTAAACTGTGGTGTACCCACAGGACACAGGAGTCTGCTCCGTATCTACTGACCTGGGAGAGCATCCATGACAGACAGTGAGATGAGAGGAGCAAGTGCCGAGTAATAAGGTCACTGTGCGTATTCTACAGTCCCATTCTGTTTTTGTGAAGAGAAGCAAACACCAACATCAATACCAACACCACCACCCGTGGTGTGGCTTGGAACACTGGTTTCTGTGTGCGTGCGTGCGTGCGTGCGTGCGTGCGTGCGTGCGTGCGTGCGTGTGTGTGTGTGAAGGGTGATGCTTAATTTTTTCCTCACATACGATTTACTTTTTATTGTTTGTGGTGAACACAATTTTTGAAGATAAATCTAATTGAAAACTGAAGAATTTAAAAAAACAAAAACCTGGAGGCAGGACTTACTTTATAAAATGGCTACTCCCAAAAGGGGCAGTGACAAAGAAACCAATTCCTTTCTAAGGAAACCACATACCTGCTTACAGTTCACTTTGGAGAAGAGTACTTTCACTAGATAACCTCCCACATCCGTGTGGCACAAAAGCCAAATGTGCTCATCTCCCACTCCTGTCCCCTTGTTGAGCGACACTCATCCACCTCCTCAGGACATTTGCACTTGCTATTCCCTCCACCTGGAATGCTCTTCCCCCGTGCAGCTGCACACAGAGCTCTCACTTCCTCAGATGTCACCTTCTCAGACAAGGCCTTCCCTGGTCATCTAATCTTAAGACTGCAATCCTTCCCTGTTTGATTTTACCCCTAGGTACTTATCACCACCTATATTTCATATATTCACTAATTTTATTTATTTATCTGATTTGTAGACTGGCCAGGGCAGGAGTCTGGGGCCTATGCTCTTCCACTTTCTATAGAGTGAGAGATAACAGTGCCCTCACCATCCATCTGTGGTACAACCTCAAACAGCTTCACTGTGCAGCCCGTACAGGCCCCTGACAGAGCAAGGCCAGCTCACTGCTGGGACCCAGGCCTCTGGCTTCTCCTCCTTCTAAATTTTTTCATTGTCCACTCTCTGGCCACACCACCGTTTATCAGCAACCACAAACATCAGCAGGCATGATTAGGAAGGATCCCACACATGTGGTGCTCAGTTAATAATGAGGGAATAAACGTAGGAATGAATGGGAAATAATCTACTCTAGCATACTTTTTTAGCTAATCTGGAAAATATCTGATAGGGTGAAAGGCTGAAACTACTTAGCTGTAATGGCCATTTCTGACTGAGGATTGGGATATCTGGCTTATGTCTCCTTCCGATCACTGTCAGAGCAGAGCAGCCTCTCCTCAACACAAGCTGTAAGAGATACGATCTTGAGGAAAGGAAACAGCGAGGGAGGCACTGTGGGTGGGGCACTCCCCTGGAACCCACCCCCCAAGGAGTCCTCCCCTGCGTGCCCCCCATGGCAGGCACACCCCTATCATAGCCCCCACTGCACAAGCCTGTCACCCCCCCACCAGTCTGTACTTACCACGTCACAGCCCTGCACCCTCACAGCATGTGCTCCTGTAGTAAAGCTGCCCTGTCACCAAGTGCAGTGCTGGTGACCACGGCTTCCTTCACAGGGGGACTGTGCACATTCTGATTTTGGAAACACACTAAAGAGTCCCACACTGCTAGTCAGAGAACGCTCCTTTCTCCCAAGGGAGCAGACACAGAGAGCAATACTTGGGAGGGCCTCAGTACTGTCACCAACAGAAGCAGCTGGGGGGGGCAGCCTGGGGCAGGAGGGGACCAGGGTCACTGTCACTAGAGGGGAAGGCACTGATCGGAGTCTGGCAAGGAGGTGGAAGCCAGGCGCAGGGCCTGGGGAATGCACCTCTGTGCCCGCAGGGGCCAGGCAGCTACCCAGGTGGATGAGGCCACAGAGGGGAGAGAAACAAGGAATGCCCAGTCAGTGCTCCCTGGAAGGTGCCAGACCTTTGGGCAACCTTCCAAAAGGAGCCAGAAGCACAGATTTTAAAAATAGTGACCACTAAGTAAAAATCTCCTTTAAAAGTAGTGCTAGGGGCTGTCTTCCTGGTGTGCAGTAGACGCTTAGAAGGAAAGAGTCAAGGAAGGACTTCTTCTTGGGAAGCTCAGGATAGCCCCACTGCCACAAGCCTGACCCTCCTCTTCTGTGCCATGGGGCTGAACTAGGAGAAGCCAAAGTTCCTCCCTGCGGAACTTCTGCAATCTCATTAGGAAATCAGCAGAGCAAAATCTGTGCCTGTAGCTAAAGCAGCCCAAATAGTCAGTCAGAAGAAAATCAATTCAATCCACTTATTTGCAAAGACCTTATTATGTGCCAGGCACTGCCTAGAAAGCTGTTCAGGGCCCATTGTCACATCTGCAGCCCTAATAGCTTCATTCACCTGCAAACCCAAGCTAGTTTCTGGACTGGACCGGTTGTGTAAGGGATACTGACATCAGAAAAACAAAACCCCTTGATTGTATTACGCTATTTTCTTAAAAGTCCATGCTTGTCACAGTGGCAAAAACTTACAGATGATAAATTCTAGAAGTTCAGCTACCTTTTCATTAGAAAAATCAAATGCTTTAGTATACTAAATGTAAGTTTATAGCTATTTTAATAAGATACCTAAATGAAACACTTACTTTAGATCTACAAAGTATTAAATACTGCCCTTGCCATTTCCTTTCCTCCTACCAGTATAAACAGCAGAAATTCTTTTTAGCCAGTGACTTCAAAGTTTCTGTGATTACATCTGTTATAGACTTGATGATTCAAACCTGGTTTGTGTTCCTGCAGGTGAGAGGATCTCGATCCTCTGACTCGCCTCCCCAGCTCCACTCATCCCTTGCTTCAAGTGTCTCAGGCCACAGCCGCATTACATCAAGCCACATCTCTCGTCACCTCCTGTCTGTCCTCTCCCTGTATCTTCACCTTATCCTCTTCCCTCCCCTCGGCCAGTTCACCTCCGGTCTCCACATCCACATCGACCCCGGCTTCCGAAGTCTCAAGTTCCCAAACACACAAGGCTCAAATCCACACTTTGCAAGCCCAGTATAGGCTAAGACATGCTTAGAGACTGTCTCAGGACGACCGCATTTTCAGTAGCCTCCTGCCTTAATGCTGTGATAAAAGTTTCTGAGGTATCGTTTACGGAGTGCTGGCTGCGGGCCCCGCGCTGTGTTCTACCTGTAAACGTCGAACACCTGCACAAGCAGTCCCCTTCCTCCTAGACTCATCTGGCAGGTATAGACGTATGCTCCTTCAAACAACGACTCCCAGCAACCATTCTACCTGGGAGCCTTTGTCTTCTATTTCATAAGCTTGACACTTCTGCGCCTTCCTTTCTTCACTTCTCCCAAAGTGAATTCAGTAAACACCATGAAAGAAAACAACTTTTATGGAACACACGAGATCCAAGGAAACTCAAGAAAACTGCAACACCTATAAAGCCAACATATAATTCCACAGAAATCAAAGTACGTTGCTTTTACAAAGGGGGAAAAAATGTGATTTTTTTTTTTTTTTAAGAAAAACCAGATCCTAAGTATTAAAAAAACAAGATAACTATACTTATCAGTGGTCATCTTTTCCAAGGACAATTAACCTTCCAGACTGCACAACTGACAAAGAATCTTCAAAACAACAGCTTCAATAGACTCTCCAATGTTGTGAACGTTTTTGCCCATCTCAGCTGAAAAACGAACCCCCTGCCATGTAGTACATGCATCTACACAAATGCCAGCAGCAGAAAGCAATGCCATCATATGGCACTTTCAAAAGACACCCTTTAACTGGGAAGGGGCATGAGGGAAATTTCTGAGATAGGAGAAATGTTCTATTTCTTGATCTGAATGGTGGTTTTATACATATATATACAAGTTATCCTGCACACTTAAGATTTGTACATTTTATTATACTTGAATTGTATCTCAATTAAAATAAAAAGATTCCCAGTAAAATTAGACATCATCATTAAAAACGAATTCTTACTAAAATTAAAGGGAAAATTCACACATAGTGCTTACCAAAATTCAAGAAAATCAGTTTGGCCTGTATCCCAGGACATAGTTTGACGAGAAATGGAATGGCAACGTACAACCCCAAAACACAGAGAAGTATCTTCCTCAGTCGGAGCCACACGCCCTTTCGTCTGCAAGAGAAAAGCAATTAATAGGCCGAGAGTCAGTAGATGCAATTTTGCTATAGTTTAATTTAAAAAAAAAAACAAAAAAAACAAACCCATTGCCATCAAGTTGATTCCAGAGTAGAACTGTCCCATAGGGTTTCCAAGGAGCAGCAGGTGGAGTTGAACTGCCGACCTTTTGGTTAGCAGCCAAGCTCTTAACCACTGCGCCACCAGGGTTTCCAGTTTAATAACAGCATTATAAAAATCACAAAACAAAATACAACAAGAATATTGTGTTTCCCCACAAGAATACTGTCAGTAGTAAGAGTAGCCTTCTGCCCTGCTTTGGTTAAAATAATATTTTAGATAGCCTTTTGACTTAAGCTTAGAATTCTACTGGGGAAATTTTTTTTTTTTTTCTTAAAAGCCAAACAATCACGACAATTTCCTTTGCCACCCTTGGAGTACAACACAGCAACCAGATCCTCAGAAAGTCCCCAGCCTTAAATCAGACCTGAGCTGCCACTTCATCTCAGAAGAGAATGCCTCCTCTTCTCCTCATGGTACCCCTCTGCTCACCAGCTACAGGACTGGATTACTCATTAGCTACCCGTAGGAGGCACCCCTCCCCCAAGGACAACAACAGAACCTGCCCAACCAGGTCCTGGAAAGAGCAGGGAACTGAGACCAAGACTTGATGTCACTGTCTGTGCTATATTTTTCCACCCAGCCCTGACAGGGACCTCAAACCAGGTCATGACTATGGGGCCCCAAAACCCTCCTCTATCCCTAGCCAGCTTCAAGAGTGCTCTCCATCCTGTCCCTGTTCACCTTTCAAAAATGTCTCTAATCTGGAGATTTGTAAACTTTTAGTCTCAGAATCCCTCTACGCTAAAAAAAAAATTGAGACTCCCAAACAGCCCTTGTTTATACTAGTTATATTTACTGTATCACTATTTATCACGAGAAATTAAAACTAAGAAAAAAAAATTTTTTATTCTACTTTAGATGAAGGTTTACAGAACAAACTAGTTTCTCATTAAACAGTACATACATTGTTTTATTACATTGGTTAATAACCCCATGACATGTCAATACTCTCCCTTCTCAAACTTATGTTCCCTATTACCAGCTCTCCTGTCCCCTCCTGCCTTCTAGTCCTTGTCCCTGGGCTGGTATGCCCCATTAGTCTCGGTTTCTCCTATGGTTCTGTCTAATCTTTGGCTAAAAGTTGAACCTCTGGAGTGACTTCATTACTGAGCTAAAAGGGTGTCTGGGGGCCATACTCTCGGGGTCTCTCCAGTCTTTATCAGGCCAGTAAGTCTGGTCTTTTTTTGTGAGTTAGAATTTTGTTCTACATTTTTCTCCAGCTGTGTCGGGGACCCTCTATTGTGATCCCTGTCAGAGCAGTCACTGGTGGTAGCCGGGCACCATCTAGTTGTACTGGACTCAGTCTCACGGAGGCCAAGGTACATGTGGTCCATTAGTCCTTCGGACTAATCTTTCCCTTGTATCTTGTTTTCTTCATTCTCCCTTTCTCCCAAACAAGGGTGACCAGTGGAGTATCTTAGATGGCCACGCACAGGCTTTTAAGACCCCAGATGCTACTCACCAAAGTAGGATGTAGAACATTTTCTTTATAAACCATGTTATGCCAACTGAGCTAGATGTTCCCCAAGACCAT